GAAATTAAAAACAAACAATTGAAAGACAAAATTTTTTGAGCTTTGGCAAAAAAAAAAATTGGTCGGGTGATTTTGTTATTATTATTATTATTATCTATAGTACTAAATTATTTGTAATATTTATACATTGCCATTTTTCTCTATGTTAATACTGTTCATTTATCTAGTTTCTCAATTCTAAGTTGTCTAAGCCATCTGCTGTTTATTAACAATAATTATCACCCTTTGTGTTTATATCAACTTGTTTATAAGCCCGGTGATACCCTTTGTTATTATAATTAAGTCATCAGGATTAACTCACATTTTAATTCCATCCCAACCCCACCCCGCCAACTACGATAAGCTAAAAGATAAAGAATTGAACCAATGACATAAAAATTTCATCTCTTTTTAACCTACAAAAAATAAAAACAAAACATGATAAAACACAATTTCTTACCCACCCCCCCCCCCCCAAGACTTAGTTAAACAGTTACAAATCATTTCCCTACCCACACTACGACAAACAGTTGTAGTTAAAGAAAAAAAAAACAAAATAAAACAAACTAGAAAGAACAGCAATGCAGAAAAGAACAAAATTAAGATATTACATTATGCCATGGAGGAATTAGTTATGCCAACTTGTACAGTGTTTGTTAATCAGTCATGAGGAGGACTTGAGGTCAGGTTGAAATATTCATGTGATATTAAAAAGTGTGTCCGTTTCTTTCTCTAGTATTCATATATGAACAAACGTGGACCCCTCTTCATGTTTTATAAAATATTAGATATATAGTATTGGTAAGATAGTAAAGTTACCGTATATTATAAAGTACTGTATAATGGGCAGATCATTTAGGTCGGATACTAAACAAGGCGGTCCTAGAGGACCTAATTCTTTGGTACTACTGTACCTGAGTAAAGAAACAGTTTCATGGACGACTGGTTTGAACCTAGATAAGATGTTGATTTAATCTTACAACAATAAAAGACGATGATTCATCGGCTATGATCATAATATAACATCTTTTTATAATCCACGATCCCTCGCCTTTTATTGTATTCATATCGCACGCACCGCAATAATTGGCTATTGTATGCCATGTATTGTGAACTATTCTCGGAGATTATATTTCGTTTATCGGGGATATCCAGGGTATAATAATATGTATAATATTTGACCTACCCGGGGCCACCTTGCATTTTATGTTTAATTTAAAAATGGAAAAAAATAAAGATGACGCTGCAAGTGAATAAGAAACTTTTTGATAGTTAGGCAACCAAGCAGAATGGAAAGGTTTATAAATTAAGAATCCTAACCACATCCGAATGAATCTACCTCAGATTAGAACGGTGAGGGGGCCCGAAAAAATCCTCTTTTTCTTCGTGGTGCAGGATGGAGTAATCCATAGGGCAGCCATTGCAAAGAGGATAATTCCTTAGCATGGCCTATTTACGAGGACTACACACTTTGATGAGGATAAAATATGATACTTTACTTGTTTAACCAAATTTAATATTTTCCAGTAGCTTTATGTTTGAATCAGCTAGATTAACAATTTGATATTAGTGTAGTTACCAATTCAAGTAGGTACTAGATAAGCCAAGGAGATAAACATCCTTGGATAAGCGGAACCATAGTTATAGTTACGTATAAACACGAGCTTACAACAAGTGCCAGCTGAGAAAGAAGATTAAATTAAATGGTTTAACCAACACACCCCAACCCCTCCCCCAGTCCCTCTGGAGAAAAAAGGGAGAACACCATCTTTTTCCATTCTTTGGGAATAAACATCATATGGACGTTCAGATTAAAATTGGCCAGAATTACACTTTCAAAGGTACTGGACCCCGCAGGGATTATTTGCAGTTTCATGGGACTCTACCAGCCCAGAATTCAAAAAGCCTCCACCGGAATTGTCAGGCTTCCTGTCCAATAGATGCCCCCGCTTCCCTAAATGCAGTGCAGTGGCGGCGCTACTGGGGGGGGGGGGATTTTCTGCACCCCATCCCTTACCGTATCGGGTGCCACCCTATCTCTTATTGTATCTCCGGTCTGCTATGAGAAAACATATTTCCCCCCTAATATTTTACCTAAGATGGCACTAAACAGGTGGTACCATATATATTTCTCAGTACCTCGTCTCCAATAAAATAAGAGTTCACAACCATATACCGTACCAGTTGGGGATGGAGATTAAACATGACTTCGGAAGGTTTAGCTTCCCCCTTCTGTCAAAAACACCTCCCCTTCCTTAACGAATATATACCCCACAGCAATGCTTGCTATTTGCAATAATCGTTCTTCATCGAAGTTTGTGTATACATTGTGCGTACACACGTGCAAAACACACGTCTGGAGCTCGTACTTCGAGACTTCGAGTATTGTAAATTATTACTTCGATGGAATGTTATTTGAATTGTGTCCTGAGTGCACAGCAGTACTTTTAGAGGCTGTGCTACATTGTATTTTATAAGTATTTATTTAATTGTAACGTTTTATTAAGGATAGAAAGTTAAGTTATTAATTAGTATCATAATACTCACATGATGTTTAGTTGCATTTGCACGGTGACTGAGACAGAACGTGCAGATTGTCCTCGGAGAATTGTCGCAAGTGGGTCTGTAAAGTGTTCTGTGCATACATGGTTGATCGATATTCTCATTCCCGACTAATAACACAGTTCCCAGATGGTTGATGTAACTTGTAGCTAATCGCAATGTTTCAATTTTCGACAGTTTCCTATCTGCCGGCTCTGTCGGAATGAGTCCGCGTAGGGCCTGAAAAGCACTGTTTACACTGTGGGTGCGATCCCTCTCTCTTGCGTTAGCAGCACATCGTGGACGCTCATTATTATTATTAAATGTTTGTAAGCCTAAATCAGACATACTTTTTCTTTTTCTATTTATACGACTGTTTGCTTTATCGGGATCAGATGAGGACCCATCGCTCCCTGAATCAATAGTATCTATAATTTCCACATCCGATGAAACCGAATCTTTCGAATATTTTCTTTTCGACATCATAACCTATTGCAAAAAAAATAAACGCACTCGAAACGGTTTGCTGTACCTTTATGAGTTGGCAAAGTTTGTGCCGTGGCAGCTCAATTTTTCTTCAATACTTCCTATCAAGCGATAGATGGAATGGATTTACGGAGCACAGCTGTGGAAGCCTGACACTACTTACGATAGCAATTGTATAAATCAACAATGCCGCATGGAATCCACTTCCCGTCTGGGTAGGTTTTATCACGTGTAAAAGTAGGCGGATCACTTGCGCACGCATGCTTTACTAGTTTAACAATCACAATTTCAGTGAGCATATCAACAGAGACAATAGTAATCTTTAATCGACTCAATTGCAACAAAAGTAATAAAATGCAAAGTTAACGCAAGTATACAGTGTAGTTATATTGTAGGCTACAATAAAAGAACCGTAAAAACAGGAAGTTTGATATTCATCCGGGTGTCATGATATAGCCTAGTAAGTAAATAATAGGCCTATAATTATTATGGTAATAATATAGGGATAGGGATAACAAAACTAAATATTATTTTGTTTATTTAAATCATATTTAACGAGATTGATAATAACAATAGATAATAATACATTTTAATAATTGGGAAAATAATAATAATAATAGAATATAATCAGAATAGATAAGAAAATTTAAAGAAAAAAATGTATTTGATAAAAAAAAAAGGTAGGCCTAGAAATGCTTCTGAAGTGTATTTGCTCTTAAGTGAGTGATATTGTAAAGAAAACGTTTTCAAATGCAAAAAAATGATCAACTGTTGATAAAGGTTTTATTTATTGCTGTACCGGAAGTTGTGTTTCGGCAATGCGGTGACCATGCTTAAGCCTACTACTAACTATTAAACTGGAGCCATTTGACCAATTGAAATTACTTATAAAAGCGGTCGATATACATTTACTATGTTTTTATTTATTCTCAGTTTCATGCTGATTCCATTCAAAACAGGTCATTCAAAATTCCCGGTTCATTTTGCCACGGGTAGCTTAAGTTAAAAATATTTTTTAAGTTTTCTGCGATTCTGAGACTTTTTTTGTTGAATAGTGTGTTATGGACAATTAATTAATTGATTCCCACGATAAACCTTCCTTGGTCATTTTGGAACGGAAATAAAATGAAAAAAGATCTGTTTGACACAATTTGTTGTAATTCGTCACTGCAGATGTTTGAAGAACTTTTTTAATGAGCTTGTAAATCAAATTCCAGGGTTGAAGAAATAATGTTGACGATTCAAAAGCACAACCTGGCACAACCAGTCCAATACCATCCTACTCATCTGAATCTACTATCTCAGTATATGCTCTACAACAAATTTGATAACAAATAGATTTTTCTATGCTATGCGTTAAAATACCTCCTTTTGATATCTTTCACTAAAACCTCCTTACGGTTGCACATTACCACCACTGTTTTTGTTGTGCTGGAGGATCTCGTGCAAAGATCAATAAATTATGCCATTTACAGTAATAACAATAATTATTTTAAACATGTTTTATAGTAACATATTAAAACGTAAACAAATTGTAACGTTCTCATCTCAGTGCTATAACAGGCCCAATAGTCCTCGAAACCTCCGTGTCGCAACATCCTCCTTTTCTGCAATAAAATGTGCATTTGGGATTAATATAGGCCAATAATCTTTAAAAAAAATCAATGTAGGCGCAGACTATTTTCATCCAAAATAGTAATGAAAAACGTAAACATGTTCGATAAGCAATTAATATAAATTTTTTGAAGTTTTAATTTTTCTTCTGTATACTGGGTTTTCCACAGGGCGCATTTATACCTTAAGAACAATAACAAAGTATGAGACTAGAGAGTTGAGTTGTTGTAGTAGAGAAAGTCCTGCTGTCACATGTATTGATCCCAGGACCCTGGGATTAGAAGGCAAGCATCTTATAACCACTGAGCTATTCAACTCCACTCAAGAATAAATAACAAGAAGAAGTACCGAAACGGCAACTTATTTCCATTCGGGTCCCTGTTAAATACCAAACCTAGCTAGTTTTTAGAGTTTATGGGAAAAAAATATTTAGAACAGTTTAGTGGAGATGTAGCAAGTTCAATGAATGTTTGTACTGTAGATCTCCAGACAGTAATGTGAACAATCCTCCAGGGTCTTAACAAGAAGACTTGTATTGCCTTAAAGTTTAATATTTCATCATGCCATTCATTTTTTATTGAAAAACATCAAACCATATCGCCATCATTGTCAATCACCGGATGAGAACAACATCCTGTTGATGTATTAGATGAAATAATTTTAAGGAAACAAACATGTTCGTGCCAGGATATCTTTGTATTCAGTTTCGAGTAGACCTAACAAAACTAGAAGACCCAGAGAGAACAATGCCTTTCTAACTCCGTGCACGGATGAACGTATTGTTATACCAGTGACTAATTATACACATAAATAATACTTTAAAAGAGAGCAGGCCTACTAATGTTGTCAGTTCTGTCCATTATTGTCAGACACTCTACTACAATACAAATTTGCAAAAATAATTTTGAACTGCAGACCTATGTGTGTTTTTTATCCAGCAATTAAGAAGAAATAATGCTCATTTTGTAAATTGATATTCTTAAACCTTTTAAGTTGGTTATCGGCCAGTAACTTTAAGCTATTAATACCACTTCATCTGAAGTTTACGAGGTCTGACGATAATATATAATATAAACAATATCATAATAATGATCTTATAATGATAATATAATAGGCCTAATATTTCATAATGAAAATGATGAGATGATGATGAGGATAATGCTGAAGAAGAAGATCAAAATATTGATGGTGGTGATGATCATGGTGGTGGTGTTGAAGACGATGACGATGATGGTATTGATAATGATGTACGGTATGATGATGATGATGACGATGAAGGTGTTGGTAATGATGTTGGTGATGATGATGGTGGTGGTGATGTTGATGACGGTGATAATGATGATGTGATTGTTATTATGGTAGTAGAGGTGGTGGTAGTGATGTTGGTGTTGGTGATCGTAGGTGATGAAAATGATGATGTTGATACGAGCCAAGACTCAGGCTTGGTCAAATAGGCCTATATAAAATTATGATTTTTGAACATTGTGAGATTAAATTTAAGGTGAAGTAAATCCACAATTACTGTTAGCTGTAGGCCTACACACCTATGTGAACGTGCTATAGTGTTCATTCGTGTGAATCTAAGTAAGCTAAGCGGGACCACCATAAGCGTGGATTAGTTGACTCTTCAACTCATTCATCTCTGTATCGTGCACAGGAAATGATAAGATATCAGACAAAAACCCTCTAAAATAGAACTACTAGGGCTATTATAGTAAAGAACTAATGGAGGGTAACTAGTATCTCATGTATACCTATTGGCGGTCATATAATAATATAGTTTAATAAAATAAATATAACTAATACATGATAAAATATAATACTGTACTAATAAGTATGATATATAAATATGATATGACATGATATGATATGATAATATATGATAGGTCTAATATAATATAATTGATTGTCGATAAATACTGTAGCTATGGAATTTGGACAGGGGTAATCGCGACCCTTTAGACGCTTCGACTATGGAGGAATTCCTCCATGATTCTACTAGTGAATGGTGCGGTTCCCCCGGGACATTTATAGGTCGGCGGCAAGGACACGGAACCAACGCTTAAGGTGCGCTATAACCAACAGAAGTAAACTTTTACATTATTCTATAATTTTAACACAATTATCTCCATAGTAACCACCAGTTTTAGTTTATGCTACAGTATGAAATTTCACTACAAAATGCTCTTATATAGGCTCAGTTTGGTCAAGATTTCACAATATGAACGTCCAGCCTACACTGTAAGAATGACACTGTGTGGTGTTGATATTGTGGACATGGTCCATTATAAACCATAGGCCTACATATTATTATTATTATTATTATTATTATTATAGCTTATTTACAATTGTTATTGCTGGCTGTAGAGTACAGTAAACAATTTATTCGGCTTATCTTGTTTTATATTTGCTTTATCTTATGATATTTATTCACTTATGTATTGTATCATTCATATAAGTAATGTTTCTTTCAATATGTTTATATTTAATTTCATTTACTTCTAAAATCCAAAACATTCGGATCCAGGGTTTCCTATCGGCTGTGCGATCCTTGAAATAATCATACGACGGGTTATACGAACAGCAGTGTCATTGTCAACAGAGCACTTCAACTTCCTCGTGTACCTTATAGAGTGTATGTTTACATCTTTAAATAGATCGATAGTCTCCACATGATTATGATGTTTATTTGTCATTTCATGGAACAAGAAGTATTCTATTATAGCTTGTAACACTTGGGGAAACGCAGATATGAACGTACACTTGGCGTTGCGCACCTTCCTGTTGCGTCTTCCTCCCGAGACTTTCCGTCTCCAAACAGACTGGTAGAAACAAGGACAAAGGAAAGCACCGAATTCGGTCAATAATATAAACCTACATTAATAATTCAAAATCACCGGACGGACGCTGAATAGATCTTTCCATATTACACCGTGGAATTTTCCAATCAGTATCATACTCGTTCAGTGCAACGTATTGATGGGTCCGGTACAGTTTAACCAACGCCAATGGCTATGCAGTAAAAAGGGCTCCGGAAAATTGAGTCTGAAAATAAAAGTTGCCTCGAAAAATGGCTCCGGTCAAATTGATATTTAGTCCAAGTAAAATTGGCCCCATTGTGGAAAAAATCGCAAATGATTCGGATGGGAATCGAACCCACAACCTCCAGATAACTAGCCTGGTGTCAGAACATTTGTGTTTGCGTCAGGAAAATATCATACTATACTACCAAATACTCCAAAAATCGCAAGTGATTGGGATGGAATCGAACCAACGACCTCCAGATAAGTTTGGTGTCATAACCACATACCACCAAGCTTGCACTTAGTGATTCGTGTTGAGTCCGATCCCAAGTAGCAGGAGTATTGCTATTTCGATGTGTGTTTGGATTGCCAGTGAAATGTGTTGAAGGTCACTTTTTAGCACATATTTAGCCTTAGATTCAAGTGTATTGGTCACAGGTAAAAGATAACATGGTCCGAAATTTTGTTTACATTGCCTAAATTCTGTTACTAAAATGATAAACATCAAGGTGTATTGCACTTATTAAAACCATTTTAAACATAATGTTAAATTTTA